TGCAAGCGACGTTGTTTGTTTCTTTCCCGCTCGAGAATATTGTTGCATTGATTAAAATTGATAAAATACGATTGGTCTATGTATTAAATATTTCAAGTAATAGATATAGATAATAATTCAAGGAATATTATAATAGATAATAATTTTGAATAATTACATTACATTGGAACATATGAAAATATAATGTAATTAATATTATAATATATATTATAATTATGTCGTAATTACGATTATATTTAAATTATAATATGTAATATATTGTTATATGTATAATGTGTAACATATAATTTAATTATAATCATAATTACAATATAATTATAAATTATATATATATATATATTATTATTATTATTACTTGCATATGTATTAATATAAAAATTCACGGATTTATATTTTTTCTATTTGTTAGTTAAGAAAATGAACAACAACAAAAAGAAATTCTTAATACGATATATGTATGTGCATATACATATATACATATTAATCATTTGTAAAGACAGGGACGTTTATTTGAACGCCATTAAAATTCAAAGACGTTCGTTTAAAACGGCATTCTATTTTGCAGACAGGAGTACGATTGCCGGAAGGAGCAAGCGCGGCATTGGCGAAGCCCACCAAGTATCATTATTATCCTCACAATCAACACATTTATTTGCTTCCGGAATGTGCGGTCCAACAAGTTTGTAATGCCGTCTACGTGCGATTGAACTTCACTCAACCGCTTTGCGCCTGTCCAGGACGTTACCGCGACCCTTGCAGCGCTTCCCTTGACAGCGACGATCATCACACGACCGAGCTAGTAACTGATCCACGTACCAAGGTAACAAGATGACTATCTTAATTCATTTTGTATAGAAAATTTAATTAAGAGATCGAATTCAGCTCAGAGAATTTCTCGAATCTTTGGAAAAATCGAATTCACTTTTATTTTCACTTAAAATAATAACAATAATAATATTATTATTTTTATAATAATAATAATTTTAATAATAATAATAATAATAATAATATTAATTTAATAATAATAATATTATTATTTTTATAATAATAATAATTATTATTTTAATCAAAGACAAAAGCGAATTCGATTATAATTATTATCATTATTATTATTTAAATTATTTAATATTATTATTAATATTATATAATATAAAAAAAATACTAATTTTAATATAGTATAATATACTTAATATAATTTATAAAGTATTATTATTATACTAATATTAAAATTAGTATAATACTAAATATTATATAATATTATTATACTATATGTAATAATCATTACACATATACACTCATACACACATTATTATATTATATTATTATTTTTATAATATTGAAATGATTATACAATATAATAATAATAATAATTATTATTGGACTGTTCTTAAATTTATCTGTCAATATTTAAGTCAATATTTAAACACAAACGAAGAATTCGAAATCCAATCTCATTATTATATTATTTTCTCCGATTACCAATAATTTATTTGTCACCACATTAACACATTATTATTATTATTATTATTATTATTATTATTATTATTATTATTATTATTATTATTATTATTATGATTATCATTAGAGAAATATAAAATATGCATCTATATCTATACGATCAATTTAATCTCATGAGAAACATCATGATGAGATAAATGTTTTATCAAGATCGAAACCATCTTTATATTTCCGAGTACAAGCGCGCCAATTACTCGATACATATTAATTAAACGAAAAGAATGCCCGTTCGTCGTCACGAAGCAATTCCGTATGGATAATGAGCGGGAGATTCCGGTTACCGGTTGTCGAGAATGCCTTCGGCTCGTGCTCGTGCTCGTGATCGTACTCGTACTCGTGCTCGTGCTCATGCTCATCCTCATGCCCTCTTGCTACTCGTCTTCGTCTCTCTTATAGTTAGTTTCTCTCTAGTGATGCAACGTTGTGCCTTCGCGAAACTCGAGGAGGACATACATAAGGGAAGAAGTAGAAAACCGGCATGTCGTTCGCAAGAAACGTTCACTCACTTTCAACCGGTGTAACGACCTCGCCAAACGTAACTCTTCTGCTAAGAAACCGCAGCGAACGCACGTGTTCTCTTTTTTGTTCTCTCTCTCTCTCTCTCTCCCCCCCTCTCTTTCTCTCTCTTTTCCTCCCTTTCTCTCTTTCTGTCTCTCTCTCTCTCTCTCTTTCCCTTTCTTTCTGTTTTATTTATTTATTTTTTTTTTAACCCTCCATAACGTCATGTAACTTCGAAGTCACATACTTATACATATATGTATGTATCTATGTATCTACATTTTATTATTATTATTATTATCATTATTTTCTTTTTTTTTTCATTTCATTTCATCAACACAACATTCATTGTTATTTACTACTATCCAAAATTTTCAATATATTTTAATTTTAAGTACAAGATGGATCGTGAGTTCCTACGTGATTTTAAAAAACAATTATTATTCCTCTTCCGAGACTTTTTAAACCAATTCTTTTCCTTATAATGATCGTAACTTTTTTCGATCAGTGAATGCCGTTTCTATTAGATACTATTATCAATTAGATATTTTAAACTTGTATTATAATAATAAAAAAAAATAAATAAATAAGTAAATAAATAAATAAAATAAAATAATCGATAATCTTTTAGGCTCTAACACTCGTGAAAACATGCGAACCAGTTGCTGAAATGCGAGAATGCAGAGCTCCAAGGGATTGGTCTCTTTTAGCCCTTCAAAATACACGAACCGGAAAGTCTCACTACTTGGTGATATGCCGATGTCCGGATTCGAATATACTTGGTATGAAAAGTATAATATAAAAAAAAAAAAAAAAAAAAAAAAAAAAAAAAAAGAAAAAACATTGACTGAAAGAATATTTTATAAATGTATTATACGAAGTGTAACTTAATGGTCCGTACAAACTTTGGGAATAAGTTCTGAAGACTTAAACAAGTAGAAAATGTATTATGATCATAGGGATCAGAAATGCTTGATTCTAGAGTTATGATACTGGATTTCAAAATTTTCCCGCAATGGTTGGAAGAAATTATAACGTTAAATCGTCAAGCTTTTCTTATTTTCTGAATTCCTCGTGATTTCTTTAACCTTCCTTTGACTTGCATTTCTTACGCAACCAAGAAAAAAAAACACAGTTTATTACTCCTATAGAAATTGACGTAATAATTTCTCCAACCATTGCAGAATAACTTTGAATCGTCGTAACTTCAGAAGCAAGCGTTTCTGATCTCATGTTCATAGGACATTTTCTATTTATGTATATATGTATATATATATATAAATATATTATGTATATATATATATATATATATATATATATGTTATGTTGCAGAGGGTCCCATGAGTCACGATCAACCGACCTATGCAAGTGTACCAGGAATTCGTGTTTATGGAATGATGTGTGTGCAAGGAAATAGAAGAGGCCGGCCATTACGACATATACGTAGTCTTATGGGTTGGTTTTTCTATTTTTCTTTTCACTTTTTATTATGATATTATTTTTAATTGAATAACGAAATAATTCGAGTTAACGAAATTACAGGTTTTAACGACTTGGAGGAAAATACCGAAAGATTTCTATTCGGCAGAGATGATAAGCTAGAGTTTCCTTGGGATAAGGTTCATCAGTTGATGAAAATGGCCGTTTGGGAGTGATTTACGATCAGTTCGAATTTTATTCTCGCTCTTCGTCTCTTTCTCTCTCTCTCTCTCTCTCTCTCTTTCTGTCTTTCTTTCTTTCACTTTCACTCTCACTCTCTCTCTCTCTCTCCCTCCCTTTCTCTTTCGATTTTTTTGATCCATCCTTTTTCACAATCGTCCACCCTTTTTCCTCTTTCCTCTACGCATATCTTTCTTTTTTCTTTTTCTCTTTCTTTTCCTTTCTCTTCTTCCTTTTAAATCAAACCATCGATATACACCGCTTCATTTCATCTTTATTTATTACGATATCATCCTTGTCCGCGTTATCCTTTAGCGTACAATACTCGTATATTTATATTATTCATTAAGTTAGATACCGTGAGCTCGGGATTGGTGTTAAAGCCAGGTAAATTAGAAGCAGCTCGTAGATTTTTTTTTTTCACTTTTCTCCTTCGTTTCTAATTTCTAATTTTTTTCTTTCTTTGTCGCGGTTAAATTTAACGAATATAGAAAAAAATCAATGACTATGAAATTTCACGACAAAATTTCGATTATAAGAGCGCATGTACATACATATATACGTATGTATATGTATATATTTGTAGACGATTGAAAATTTATGATGAATTACGAGATATATAGGTATATATATAAGTTTTTAAACGAGTAGCTTTTTAATAATTTGCTACTACTACATGCTACTTTTATTACGATAAGATATCGTCGCTCCTCGTTATACTAATCCAACGGGTAAATTTTATCTATTAAGGTAGTATCGAAATGAAAGGGTTTGTTAGTAAAGACGATCGCATAAGGGGAAAAAAATCTAATATTGATTATAAATCATCAGTGAGGTAGGTAGTTCGCTTAATTGCACGTATAGGAAATCGATTATCGTTATTATTATTTGTCATCTAACAGATTCCAATTAAGCGCGATAAAAACATATTCGACTGTATAATGTGATCTTGCTTTTTCTTGAATTATTTAAGATATATAAATATCGCGCGCAATTAATCTACGATCGCAACAACACGAATTTAACGTTAATTAACGTTAAAAAAACGTATCGAGACTTGACGTCGAAACAATTCCAGAAGAGAAAAAAAAAAAAAAAAAAAGAAAAATATATATAAGAAAATATGATATAGGTACGTTTAAACGCCTGCGGAAAATTCTGTGGCCATAAACTATGAAAATATGTTTTCTACGTGAAATCAACGTAGGATTAGATCAAACTTTCGATTATTTTATGTACGAGTGTACGATAAAAAGTATTCTGAAATATCAATGCGTTCGTTCAACTTTGAACTTGTAAATTATATATACATATATATATATACATATCTGTTAATTATCACTCACCAAGGACGTCAGAATTAACCAAGACGTTGCAGCTGTACATCGGTGTCACCAATCGTGGACGTCTTAAATTGAATGCTTTTCTGCAAGCTTCCTTACACGCTGACATTAAGTGACCACCAAGATGGCCTTGACTTAGATTTCCACTTTCACTATAAAAACGACGAAACAAATATAAAATAAAATTGAAATACAATATAAATACATATATCGAATGAATGGGTTAACTTACTTGTTTACGTCTTCAAATATCTGCCACTTTTTGACAACAAAACAAACACCCATCGTTGGTTCTTCGCACAATGGACCAGCGAGTGTAGCTAACTGAAAACCGTTAACCATACTACTGTCGTATCTGAAAATAATAATATTTTTTTTTTTGTTATAACACGACAAAAAGAATCTTAATATCTAGACTGGAAATAATTTTTCATTGAAATGAATACTTACAACACTCGTGGATCGATCGATTTAAATTGTCGTTCCCAAAAATTACGATGTTTATAATCTGTCTCGTTTAACAAAATATTAGGTCCGCATTTTCGTGGTCCAAACGACCATATATTTTGTAAACTTATCTTCCAATCAGCTTCCTTAAAGGCAATCATCAAATCGTTTTTAAAGCTTTCAATTGCTTTTTGCTGCTTATCCGACATGGTTGAATCCTGAATAGATAATTCATTCAGATCGGAACAGTCTTCAAGTAAGGCATCTTCTTTCTCTTTCGTGAATTTGCTAAAATGTTGATCCATCCATTTCAATAGATCCGCATGTTTTTCTAATAATTTCGTTACACTTTCTGGAAGTGGTTTAGCATCGATTTCGAAACAACATTGTCGATTTACCGTCCAAGTTTCTAAATTTATTTCTTCTGTCTTCTTCTCGATAACTTCATTTACCATGTCCACTTTTGGTGGTGGTACAACCGTTTCTCTAAAGGGAACTATAGGTTCAGAAACATTGACCTCAACTTTGGCATATCGTAATGTTAGATCTTCTAAACATCTTTCCAAATGTACTTCACCGGCAGTGTTCAAAATAATCTCACCAGTTTCTTGAATATGTACTATGGCACATGCATCTGCTTGATTGAGTAATTTCAAACCGTTTATAAGCTTTTGTAAATCATTTGGATGTTTCGGTTCCAATGCTACTCGTAGAATTGGAACTGCAAGAGAAGTCAACTCAGAGAAGGATGGACAAACTATAGTAGTGGATAATGTTGCAGTTTTTAATACGTGTGCTTCTAAACCACCAATACCGAAGACATTACCAGAAGGAATTTTGGTGATAGGTTCTAATTCTCTTCCCATTAATAAATACAATTTTTCAATAGTTACTTTAGTAATATGTCTTCCAGGATGTAAATCTTTCAACGTCATTGCAGCTATATCTTCTCCTGCTTTTTGATACTCTAAAGCTTTCGCAGGATTGTGTTTTGGTCCAAGGACATAGACTTCGCTCCCTACTTTAAGCATACCTGAATATATTCTTGCAAAAGCTATTAAAGAAGTGGCTGTATCATTATCCGTTGTAGATTCTTCCTCAGACTTTTTATCTGAATTATCTATACACTCTCCATTAGGTTTTTCCTCTGATCTTTCTCGTTGTAACATTTCTGCATGTTTCTGCCTAGCAGCTAGTTTTCTTTCCGCCAACTCTTCTGCCGTTAAGGGTTTCATCTTATTTTCTGGCAAAGAATCTCGTTCTATTGGAAACATTTTAGAGATAAATACAATTACTGGTGCTTCAGGTGAAGAATTGCATGCTAAAAATGCTTCTTTAAGTTGTTGTGTTTCCGCAGGTAAAGTAGAAAAACTAGTATTTCCACTGATTAAACGTTCAATTTTTTCACTAGATAAACTATGAGGTGCTGGTATTTTTTCGCATATCATATTAATACATGCTCGAGCTAAAGGAAGCCATTGAGAACACACGGCTTGTAACTGTGCTTTAGGATCCGTATGCCTTAAGTCTCTTGTCGTTAATTTAATATTTAATTTTTCAGCTATAGAGGGTATTTTATCTTTATCTTTTCTAACGACTATAGTTTCATATAAAGACCATAGATTATCAAGAATGAGCTGTACAAATAAAGGTTTCTTTGCCTTCTCTTGAGCACCTTTCAATATTCTTTTTGTCTTACCATTTAAATAATAATCTCCCCAAAGAGTTTTCAATAAAACCTTTTCACTGAAGCCTAATTTTGTAGAAAAAAATTGTGCAAATTCTTTAATGCTGAATCCCCAACCATCGACAGCACTCGTGAACAAAACATTGCCTTGTTCTGGTGAAAAATACAAATTAGAATCATCTATATCATCAAGTATAGATTGCCAATCAGCTAAATTTCTTTCCATAACATTTTCAGTTGTAGAGACATTGGTCTGTTCTTTCTCTTCACGTTCCATTATATCACTAGCAAATAATTCTCCCATCACTGCATTAACTTGTTCTAAAAGTTGTGTCAAATGTAGATAAGCATCCAATGGTGACAATTTGATCTCTGTTATCAGTCTATCAATTTTATTCAAGATTAAAAGAGGTTTGAGACCTTCGACATAAGATATAGAAAGTGCACTACGAGTTTGGGGACATATTCCTTCTACAACGTCAACAACAATAACAGCGCCGTCACATAATCTAACAGCAGTTGAAACTTCTGATGCAAAGTCAACGTGGCCAGGAGAATCTATGAGATTTATCACAAATTCTGTGGTATTATAAATATGATAAAGAGATATAGAACTCGATTTCATAGTAATTCCTCTTAATTGTTCATCCGGACGACTATCCAAATATCGAAGCTTGCCAGCAAGCTTATTAGAGATAATACCATTACTTGCAACGAGAGAATCTGCCAATGTTGTTTTCCCATGATCAACGTGTGCAAGTATACAAATGTTACGAATACGATTAGGATCTTGTTGTAGCTCGCAGAGCTTCTCAGCGTTTACAAGCTTCATTGTTTATAATCAATGTAAAAAAGAATAATATATGATACTAGCTATATCCTGCTTCATATACTGCTTACACTATATGTACTTACAAAAATAATTATGCTAAATAATGTATACGAATAAATTAAAGATCTAATTTTCGAAAACAAATTAAGTCCCAATGCACTAAAATATAGTAAATATAGTAAATACTATTTCACTTTATTTTCGTTCCAAAATGCACAATATTCGCTAAACACAAGAGTATATCGTCGTTCGATTGGCATTGCTCTTGTCTTATAAAGCATACTCGCCAATACAAACTGTAAAACGATAGATAAGCACACGACGAGCGCGAACGAATAATTTTCTTTTCGTTGTACGTGGCCGACATGCAATCAATGTTAGAAAAACGTGGTTGACACTTGAACAATTTTGAGGTTAGATGCATTAAAACGATAATGCCGTAACTTTCTTCAATGATACAAACAATCTGCTTCCAACGAGAATAATAAGAAACACTTCCTGATTCTCGACACAACTGAAGTATTAATCAATCACAGCATCTTCCACTTCGAACTTCAAAATGCGACAAGAAACTATCCCACAGACGCGAAGACTTTAAGGGTCATGACGGTACATAAATAGTCAAATGTACATCTTTTAGTACGATTGCGTAAAATATAATTTCTCATATATTTTATTGAATTTAGAGATACTCCAAGAAATATTACTAATTAAAATTAATAATATGTATATAACTATGATTTATAAATATATATTAATTAACAAATTAAATCTGGAATCTATAGAAGTCAACTTGAGCTTAGTTGTTATTAGCGGGAAATTCTTTGATATTGCACCACAAGTCGAAATTTCTCGATAGAGAAAATATGATGGTACCAATATAGTCAAATGTATTTCTTTTAGTACAATTGCATGATAGATACTTTTTCGTTTATATGATATAAAATATAATTTCTCATATGTTTTAGTGAATTAAGTGATATTCCAAGAAATATTACAAATTGAATTTAATCATATATATGTAATTATGTTTTATAATTATACATTGATTAACATAAAGGAGTTAACTCTGGATTCTATAGGAGTTAATTTGAGTTTAGGTGTACTTAGCAGGTAATTCTTTGATATTGTACTACAGGTCGTAATTTCTCAAGAAGAGAAAGTATGACAGTACCTACATAGTCAAATGTATATCTTTTACTACGATTGGGTGATAAATTCTTTTTCGTTTATATATATATATATAAATGAAAATATAATTTTTCATTTTGTTTTATAATTTTCTATTGATTAATATAAAGGAATTAACTCTGAAATCTTTAGAAGTTAATTTGAATTTAGATGTAAGTAGCAGGAAATTCTTTGATATTGTTGTCGAAATTTCTCAATCGAAAGAGTATGGCGTTACGTACCGATAAACAACGACAAAATTAGTATTAATAATGAAAGATATTATTTTGGAAACTTAATAATTTTATTAAATAATCGTCTGGAAAGGGTTTTCATTATAAAAGTTTTATATTACTTTTAAATAAAAAAATTGTAAGAAAATAATTTTTCTTTTACGTAATTCTTTTACGTAATAAAAATTCGTTCGAATGTTTTCTACATCGCTGATCATAACAAGATCAATCTCGGGTAATTATACGAAAAAACAAATGCTACTATAAGAACAATTAAATCATTTTAGTTACCTTTTTCATTTAACAATGTTCTTATTGAAAATGATTCCCACATACAATTAAGTAATTATCTTAGTAATAATTGTTTAAATAATTTGATTTATAACGAATACTATGACATTGCAAAAGTAAAAATATTATATAAACTTAATAAAGTTAAAGATAAAAATCGATGATTTCTTGTGAAACATATAAGAGTGTCAATTTTTTAATTCTTCTAGCGTAACGAAATAGCATCATTTCTAAGCTCTATATAAAAGCGAGTATAACGTTTTTACGAGTAAAAGAAATACGGACAGGAAAGAAAAACAACAAGAAGAAGCGAACATGATGAAATACATTATTGTCGCTTGCCTGTGCATAATATTTGTAGTAAGTAATATTGAATCAATTTTGATAAAATTTGGAATAATACGAATATTCACATTAACCAAAATTATTTTCTCTATTCCATATATTCCATATTTTCCATATATTCATATGTCGCATATATAACATATAAAAATTTGCATAGATATAAAGTGAATTTTAGTATTAGTAATAGACGCAACCCGGCATACAGTATCGGTTGTGTAAAAGAGTATGAGTTCCTTTCCAAAAATATTCTGAAAACCGAAAAGGAAATGGTTAAATCTAATGAAGAAAAAAAATATACAATTTTTATACGTTATAATATAACGATACTATATTATTGATATTTCAATCATAATTTTGATTTAGCTTGGTCAAGCAGAATCGCAAGATCAACAAGAAACTACAACCGATAAGAGAGTACGTAATAAAGAAATTTATTTATTCAATATTCAATAATTTAATGAATTTTTTATTAATACTGGTGATTATATATTTGTAGGTTGAGCGTAGCTTAGATATGAATCAAATGCCGCAAGGATCTAATATCCCAGGACAACTTGCAGATATCCCAGGACAATTTGCTAATATCCCAGGACAACTTGCTAATATTCCCAATGAATTTAACAAAGCGGTGAAAAATGTCATGGATGGTATAACTGATGGATTGTTAAATTCAAAAGATCTAATGAATAAGTCAAGACGTCGTCGTAGTTCAGAGCAACAATAGAATGTGATGTAATCACTCGCATCATGACAGTAAGTTATCATAACAAGTAGGTACTATTATTGAAGTAGGTACTATTATTCGAAGACTTTTAAAATAGAAATTATATCAGAAATTGCTAATTAGAAAATTTTATGTTCTTTCCTAAGATTCTATATATATATATATAATTCTTTTATTTTCGACTTACTCTGTCGATAAAGTGTGTGACTCTGTTTTTATCAATTGAGCTTATTTAACTTCAGTAAAAATCTCTTAGATTGCGCTATTATCGCAAAATCTTAGAATTCTTTCAATATTTATTAAAAATACGAAATAAATATGTTAATACCAATTCCAGGGAATATTGAAAACAGGAAATTTGATGGACGATGCATCGTAAATGTTATCTTATATGTGGTACACCTTAAAATTTATTCAGTATTATACATATATATAATATTCAATATTATATTGTTTCCATTACATAACTGGTATTTTATTAGCACTGATGTATTGATTAATAAATTAAATGGACACATAAAGAAGAAAAAATAATGACTTTTGAGATTCAATAAATTTATGTTTATTGGAAATACTAACATTAAAAATTATATATTAGTAAATTTTAAATGAAGTGAATCTATATATTTAAGTAAGAATTCAGAAAAATTTATTTTTAAAATTATTTATTTTAATTGTTTTAAAAAAAGAACTGTCATTATCGTAATTATAAGTATTCTATTGTTTCATCAAGCCGATAGTCATTCTGGTATCAGCAAGACCAGGTTGTTTAGTCACAATATATTATTTACCATTTTTTCTGGCCTATTGGTAAATAATTCAGGATGATTAAAATTCATTTCAGCATTGTTAATTAAAATGAGAATAGAATGGTTCGCATCATTAATATAATTCCCAACATTGTCTTCATTGAACTTTTTACCTTTTCTACGAACGTGGAAGTTATGTAAAATAAAATTTTGCTATTTTAATCTGGAATAATATTTTTTCATTCAATATAAATATAAGCGTAAACTGTGGAAAATAAAAATGTCAAGTTTTACATTTTATAATTATTACTTTAGCTTTGACAACAAGTTATAAATATGGATGAGAATGAATTTATTAGAAACAAGTTTGATGCATTTTGAAAATGTTAATAAAGAATTTTAATAAATACTTCGAGTTTTTTTCATAGTCTTAGAGATCCAGTAGTAAATCGCTTGACCGTCGATTAAATCACCCTCGACGATATCATTTTAAACTTCATATTTTTCTTTTATCTCGGTGTCGACATTTTTTATCCTTTTTCAGTGATTTTGAGACTAGAACAATATTGAGAACCTTTACAAGTAGGAGCCAAGGCTAATGCTTTACCAATATCATTGATTGTACTTGTGATTGTTGTCCATCTTCCTTAATATATTACATCTGCGTCTAAATCTAAATTAGATACTTAAAAATTTCTTCCATGCCAAAGGACTTCCTTAGCCTTGGAAGTCTTTTGTATTTATTCTTATATACAGTCAACACGGACAAAAAAGTTTTCTCTCAGTATGAGAACATCCTCAAATATGTTAATGTATTTTAATTTTTATATATGTTTGGACTATCAATTATACTCGTAAAATAGCGAACATTGTGTCATTAACTAATCGTCTCGTTGAATATATGAACTCAGCATTTTTTAAACTACGCTACGCCAGTATGTTTTAAACACTTATGTTTTATAAAAAGTGAAACATTATGAAAATAAATATTATTTTATTATTTTCATCTATTTTATTTTACATAATTAAAATTTGAGAATAAATATTTCTTTTATTTTCTTAACTCTTATATATTTACTTGCTCAATTTATTTCTTGTTAATATTTATCTATCCTATGAAATAATCAAGGTGTTTCGTTAAAATTTCAAGATTTCTGTAGTGTTCCTACATAGGAAAAATTGTGGAAAATGATTTTGCTTATATTCAGTCTATACGATACATTGCAATCAAGTTTATTCACGTAATGAATTATCATTTGCGTGTCATTATATATACATTCTGATTAATCTTCTTTTTATAATCGTTTGCTTATCATTTTTTTTCTTAATTATTATTAATTTTTCGAAAATTCTTTCTTTAATTTATTTTCTCTTTTCCTTTTATGTCGCTTATATATCAGCTTGAGCAAGAAGAGATAGAATTTATTTATCCGTTTCTTTTTATTTTGTATAAGTAATGCAATTTTATATCAACGAATAATTGAGAAATTAATTTCGCCGTAGCGATACGATAAACGTACTCATCGACAAGATATTTTTGATACTTTAGATCAGTCTGAGGATATCGAGAAAAATATTTTTCGATAATGGTAAGAAATTATTAATATCAAATCTAGGTTTAGATCTACATAGATATACATATATATATATATATATGTCATTAAACTTTATATATATATATATATATATATATATATATATATATATAAAGTTTAATGACAATTTATTAATATAAAAAAAGGAAAAAAGAAAGAACAGGAAAAATAATACGAAAATATTATAAAAGAAAAGTAAACTATAAAAAGTGAATCGCTAACAATTGGACATTTTCCTTGTTACTTATCTTATTTTCAACGGAAAATATTGTAAAAGTTTTCCTGTTATATAATTTTATCACGAAATAAAAATTTAAACCGATATTTTCGACGTTGCTAACAAAAACAAGGATAGTAAAACAAAAAAACATATGCCATCGTAAGAACAATTAAATTGTTCAGAAAACTTTTAACAATGTTCTTATTAAAATATTCCTATATACAATTAAATAATTATTCTAATAATTATTATTTAAATAATATTATTTATCACAAGTACTGTAACATTCGTAAAATTAAAATAAAATTATATAAACTTAATAAACTAAGAGATAAAAGTTGATGGTTTCCTGTGAAAAGATATATATACATCTCAATTTTTTAATTCTTCTAGCGTGACGAAATTGCATCATTTCTAAGGTTTATATAAAAGCGAATGTAACGATTTTATGAATAAAAGAAATACGGATTGAAAAGAAAAAACAAGAAGAAGCGAACATGATCAAATACATTATTGTCGCTTGCCTGTGCCTAATGTTGACAGTAAGTAATATTAACTCATTATTGTGGTAAAATTTGCAATAATTACGAGTATTCCTATTAGCCAAAATTATTTTCCCCATCTCAGAATCCCCCAAACTTCAACTTATATTCATATGCCACATGTATATAAGTATACCTCATAATAATATCTATATAATATAATAAATGTAATGATAAAATGAATTTTAGCTTGATCAAGCAGAGTCGCAAAATCAAGAGAAAACTATGACCGATAAGAGAGTATGTAATAAAGAAATTTATTCGTTCAATATAATTTAATTAATAATTTATTGAGTTTTCAGTCAATATTGATAATTACATGTTTACAGGTTGAACGTGACGTAGATATGGATCAAATGTCACAAGAGTCTGATTTTCCAAGCCAATTCGCTGATGTAGGAAATACGTTTAGCGAGAGATTTAAAAATGTCATGGACATAGTCAATGTTTTTGTGCAACAGGCAAAAAATTTGATGCAGCGTTTTTCAACCTTCGAATAGCGTTAAATTTTTAATAAATCGCGAAATAATAGCTGCGACTTAAAGAGAGGAAATTAATAAATTTACAATATTTTAATCTATAAAGAAATTTCTCGTAGAATGTTGTTAAGAATTAAATATAAATAAAGTATCTTCAAAATAATATAAAGTGATTTCAGTCTATCAGATTCATAAAAATTTGCGTTAACCTTAAAAACAAATGTTTTGAATCAAATAGCAAAAAGATTGATAAATGTTGCTTCAGAATATCGGCTACTTCCATTTGTAAAAATTCATACTTGATCAGTAAAAAAATCTGCTCAGTTGAAGAAAGAAAGAATTTAAAAGAAATATTCCGGGGGACACATGCCTTAATAAATAACCCATGATAATGATTAAATAATAGAACAAAATCCAACGAATAATATATTAAAAAAATAAATTCAATCCATAATCCTTATACGTATAAACAAATGAAACTTAAAATGAAACATTTATTATTCTTAAATTTATCGAAATATATTTATTTTTTCATCATATTGCTCAATAATTCAATCATTGCCCATGGGTCTCCTTTAGTGGTCTACTACATTGTTGTGGTAGGGGAAATTGTGTGTTAATAATATACAAGGCTATTCCAAATAAGTTTAATAGATTTAGATAGGCTTATGAAAAAAAACCAGACGATGACTTGGCAACGAATGATATGTGCATACACAAACGAGTAAGTGAGTGAACGAAAAAATTTATATGGGCTCGAACATGGTATGTATGTGGTAGGTTGAGAGGGTGGGTTTTCCAAACCCTTTTCTGAATAAAAGAAAAAATGGGAACTTCAATTGACTGGATTTATGGATGGATTTACATACTTTTCTCTGGATGAAAATGATTGGAACGAGGTATCGCTAGGTGAGGGCTCATTAGGGTTAAGCATTAGGATTAAGGGTAAATGATAGTTTATTACGTGAATAAACTTGATCGCAATATATCGTATAGACTGAATATAAGCAAGATCATTTTCCACAACTTTTCCTATCTAGGAACACTACAGAAATCCTGAAATTTTAACGAAATTTTAACCTTGATTATTAAAAGAAATATAAACAAAACATGGCCGGAAATGACGGCCAATCTAACCTGACTGGTGTATCTTCCAATCTAATATCTCCAGATACGAAGAATCACAAAAGTTTGTTCATGGAGAGGGAATGTTACGGATTTCATGTTTATTTTCATAATGAAGAAATAGATTGCATAAGAGTTACGACAAGTTTCAACTGTTTAATTCCGTCAATATGATATTAAAAATATTCACCGAATATCAAAGGTGTTAGTGCATTATCAGCATTATTCGAGTTATGAAATATCGTTTATTCAACAAAAATTTAATATAGGCTTTTATGGATTATTTCAAAAGTCACGTTAAAATATGTGACTTTACAATATAAATATGATAATATAAGTATGTTAATATTTGATAACATAAAAAATACTGATCTTGTAGTGACTCCGCAGCGAATTGACAAACGTTCTTAGTTCCCTATCGTACAAATGCGATCAATAGTGATTCTATATGTTTTAACGTATAGATATAGATTTTATATGTTTTAACATATAGAAATATTTGAAAACATAAACATATTTTAAGATGTTGACATGGATGGAAAAAATCTTTTTGATTGTCGTGGTCGTAAGAAAATTGATAAGAAGAGCACGTACGTGATATGGAAAAAAGCACTAAATCGATACGATGAATCGAAAGAAAGGATAAAATTCTCTTAACATCCTTTTAGTTCATTCTTTATCACTAATCGCTGAAGTCACACATAACCCTTAATTGATATTGGAAGAACAGCCTTAAATGACTGTTGTTCATTTTGATTTTTGAAAAGCGTGCGATTCTAACCATTCGAAACACTTATCATTATATTAACTATTTACCCTGGAAAGTTTCAAAAATTCATTAGATAGGTAAAAGTATCCGTAATTTTAACATATTGACAATTAAACTACGACCGAAAGGCTACGTGGATTTAGTTCTGATGTAAGATTATCAAACAAACATTAATCCTTTTAGCTAGGTAATCCTTCCAACTTCCAAACCTCGGATTTCTGGATAACTTCAGGAAGCTTAAGGAATCTGTGACTAATGATCATACATTTAAAAAACAGGTGATTATCTTGGAGCAACAACGTGGAAAATCATGTGACCACCTATCAGTCCAGCATTAAGTTCGTTTGATTTGATCATTTGAATCAACTGCTTTATTTCGTCGAGGAGCGATACAACTTATTGTGAATGCCAACTTTAGAAACTTTCGACTACATCTGCTGCTTCTTAAACAGCAGACAACTGAGAACTAACGATTTTATTCTACTTATCCTACTTGCCGCATTCGTAAGTGCGAAGGATGTGAGGTGAATGAATAATTGATCTTCTTCAGTTGCGTATCCAACGTTATCCGATTAGTAACATCGAATCTAAAAATTTTTTTTGTCTAAACGTTTTCATTGTTAATCCCTGACAATATAATTCTGAGAAAAATTCAAATGATTTATTGAAAAACAAGTTTACCCGAAAAAGTAAAACAGGTTTTAACAAATCTCATTTGAAATATCGGATGTAAATGTGAATATTTACAAATTAATTAATTGTCTTATAAATATACACTTATTTATTATTCATACAGAAAAATTATTGGTGTCATAGATTATTCCTTTTTTGTTTTTTATACAGAGAAAAAGAAAAAAAAAACAAGAAATAAGGGAAATAAGAGTAAGGAAAGATAAATAATTTGAATAATCTTTTTAACAAAGAAAACGGAAGGATATTTTAAAATTAACATAAAATTATATTTTTCATTTGTAGGAAACGATAACAGCATTTATTCAATCGTTTTGTATGATTACGTACATATTTAAAACGTATTACAATTTTATAATAGAAAGAAAATAAGAAACAAAAAAAGAAACGTGAAAAAATCATAAAAAGATTGCTACCAATAAAAAAATGAAATATGTACATTTTATATATATCCAGCTTTTCATTAAAGTAAAAGTAAAGCAAACTTTTTCGTAAAAGTAATAAACATTTTTTGTTCAAACTCCGCAATTATCTATCAACATTTAAACAATGAAAATTTGAAGAGTAATTCTAAGAATTTATTCTGTGTGGAAATTGTCGAATTATGTTATCTCTTCATTTACTTCTGCTCTTTCATCATTATTCGAAGAAAACGTTTTTTATGTTCGCGCATTAACCTGCCCATTAATCTGGTTGTATTCTTTTCAGACACGTATGTTAATATTTTCATGCATCTGTGAAAAAAATAATGCGATAAAAACCCGATTGTTAGCAATTCGATTCCTACAGTTTTCAAGGCACTCTCAACAAACTCATCAGCAGTTGGTATCATCCACGTTGATTTCCTAAAAAAAGTCAATGCATAAATATATTACATTACTGAATAATCGTCAAAAAATACGATAAGAAAAAGTACTCGATTGGAATAAAATAATAAAAAAATAATAAACATTCTTGCCTTATTTTTATCATCTTAGTGGCAATTGGTCCAGGAGCAATACACTGTACGATAATACCATCCTGAATTACTTCTGCAGCTAAATTAGCGCTGAACTTAATGACGTAAGCTTTAGTAGCTCCATAGACTGTTAAATATGGACATCTAATATCCATCCCTAATATCGAACTTATATTAATTATGATCCCCTTTTTTCGTTCTATCATGCCTGGTAGAATTAATCTAGTGATATTGGTAAAACTAACCACGTTTAATTGCAATATCTTATTTAACATTTCTTCTGATGTCTTGCTGAATAATTCCGGATAATCAGAATTCATTCCAGCGTTATTAATCAAAATACCAATCTGTAAAATCATTATCAGAATTTATTAATTATTATTTTCATTCTTTTTCGAACTTTTTCTAACATAAAATTTTCTTTTGACGAAGGATATATATTTGTTCATTCCGTTATTCAATAGAAACGTTCAGTATGTACTTTAGAATGTTAAAACGTCGAAGATTTCATAGTTATTATTCTAACTTCAATAGCAAGATAAAAACATATGTGAGAAAAAATTCATTAGCAACAGATTGAAAAATCTTTAAAATGCTAATTTCTTTCGAAGAATTTTAATAAATTATCTTACTTCAAGTTCTTTCGTAGCTTTAAGAATTTTAGAGTAAACTATTTGACCTTCGGTTAAATCAGCCACAACAATACGTGTATTGACTCCATATCTCTCTTTTATCTCAGTTTCAACATCTTCGAGCTTTATCAATGATCTTGATATTAAAACAATATTAAGACCTTTACTAGCAAGAGCCATTGCGAATGCTTTACCAATACCATCGGTTGCGCCTGTGATTACTGCCCATCTTCCTTGCTTTGTTAAATCTATGCCTAATCCTAGATTAGGTGCTAATAATTTCTTCCATGCAAAATAACCTCCTTTCATAAATATCCTTAAAACGAAAAAAGTCAGTATTATCAAAGATATCTTCTCCCGTTTCTTTAACATTTTCGTTTACGTTTTACAATTTTGTAAATGCACGGACACGGATTATACTATAACACTACTGATACGATAGTAGACTAAGAATGTTTATTGAATCATTATAATATCATTGTTGAATCAACAAGTCATCGCATTTAAGTTGTAAGCTTTAACCCGGACTTTACATATAACCTATCGACAATAATCGATTGTATTCATATTAAGGAGTATCACGTAGATAGGTAAGTGATATGTACAATTAACATTCAAAATCCGTAATCAATATTCCATGACTTTCCAAAATTTTATTCAAAAATCGTAATCAATAATTCGATTCATGTCAAGAATGTATAATTTATATAATTTTAATAGTGGATTAATTGTGTAATTTATATTTTATATATAAAGGAAAAAGGGTATTTTACATTTTTCATGTTTAATAAAATGAAAATTCACCGAAAACTTAACCGAATGAATATTTACGAATTAATTTCTTTGTAAACACATATACAATTATTTTAAATTATATGAAAAAATTATTATTGTCATAAAACAAATTATTCTTTTTTATTTTTATTTATTTTTCTTTTATCCTTTATTATACTAAAACTATACTTAAACGATGTAAAGATACGGAAGGAACAAAAAAGTAAAGGAGAATAAATAATTTGTATAATCTTTGTTATAATTATAAAAAGAAAACAATGTAAGTAGGAAATCGAGAAAAGGTTTGAAATAAAAATAAAATTGTTTTGCATTTAAATGAAACGATAAAAATATTTATTTTGCTATGAAACATTTTGTATAAATACATAAATACCAAATGTATGTGGCAAAATGTATTTGACAGAAAAAAAAAGAAAAAATATATGGAAAGATTATAAAAGGATCGCCAATACAACCAAAAAATAAAATTATATAAATCCAGCTTATTGTTAAATTAAAGTATTTTTTATAAAAATTGAAAACATTTTTTTATTCTAGTATCGCAAACATACTCCCTAAAGTAACGATAAAAAATTTCATAAAAATTTTAATTTGAAAATTGTATATATATATATATATGAAATGATGAGTGGTTTTCGATGGTTATATATATATATATATATATAACCATCGAAAACCACTCATCATTTCAATGATAAGAAATATCTTACGAATTACAATAGTAATAAATCAGAAAATAGTTTTAGGAATTTATTCTGTGAGGAGAGTATCATGTTGCGGAATCTCTTTCATTTGATCCTGATCCCTTGTCTTTTTTCGAAGAGAACGTCCTCTTAGATTGAGCATCGTCCTGGTCACTAACCACATTGCACCCTTCTCACACACGCATGTCAAAGTTTTCATAAATCCGTACACTAAATAGTGCGGAGGATATCCAGTTGTTAAAGATTCGATTCCCACAGTTTTTAAAGTAGCCTCGACAAATTTATCAGCATTCGGTGCCATCCACGTTGGTTTCCTAAAAAAATAAGTCAATTTATAGATGTATTACATTTTTGAATAATTGTTAAAGAATACATTTGAAAAAAATGTTCAATCGGGATAAAATAATAAAAAACTAATAAACGTTCTCACTTGATTTTGGTCATCTTAGTGGCAACGGGTCCAGGAATAATACATTGTACGGTGACACCATTATGAGCTACTTCCGCAGCTAAATCGGCGCTGAATTTAATGACGTAAGCTTTACTGGCTGCGTAGACTGTCAAATATGGACTTGGAATATCACCCGTTACCGAACTTATATTAATTACGACACCCTTTCGTCGTTTCATCATGCCTGGTAGAATTACTCTAGTGGTACCAGTAAGACCAGCCACGTTTAATTGCAATATTTTATTTAGCGTTTCTTCTGGCATATTGGTGAGAAATTCTGGATATTCGTAACTCATTCCAGCGCTGTTAATTAAAATTCCAACCTGTAAAATTATTCGCATTATTATCATAATTCCTATTATTTTTCTCATTTCTTTTTTTTTTTTTCTATAATTCAAACGTAAAATTTTCCTTTCAAGCTGGATATATATATATATCATTTATTTTTACACTTAATAGAAACGTATATGTCAACTTTGAATTATAAGAATGTCAAATATTTCATAGTTATTATTCTAACTTCGAAAATATGTTGGAAATATAAATACGTGAATATGAATTTATTGGAAAAGTAATGATAAATATGTTAATGTTAATGATGAACAATCATACCTCAAGTTCTTCCGTAGCTTTAGCGATCTTTGAATAGATCGCTTGACCTTCGGTTAAATCAGCCTCAACAACACGTGTTTCAACTCCATATTTTTCTTTTATTTCGGTTGCAACATCTTTAAGCTTTGCCAGTGATCTTGATACTAGGACAATGTCAAGACCTTTACTAGCAAGAGCCTTGGCAAATGCTTTCCCAAGTCCATCGGTTACACCTGTGATTACTGCCCATCTACCTTGAATCGTCAAATCTACGCCTAAGCCTAGATTAGGTGCCAATAATTTTTTCCATGCCAAAAGTCCTCCTCTTATTAAAATCCTCAGGCCCACAGCAGTCAGAACAACCAATGAGATTTTTTCCCAACATGTTAACATCCTAAAATACGTTTACGTTTTCAAATTCTTTTTTATTGTAATCGATTATCTTGGTATGATAACAAACTTAGAATATTTATAGAATTTTTATGATATCATAGCTTTATCAGTCAGCATAGCGATACAAATGATTACAAACTCGAATCATATATTTGATCTATAAACTATATACGAGTTTATTCTTGTTATAAAGATTCATTTGTAACATATAGTAATAATGACTTTTTTCTTAACCGTTATAACAAATTTTGATATTTTTGCGATCGTTAAGTAGAACAGAAGTTAAGTAAAAAATATCAACAGACGACTAGTAATAGAAAGTATTCACTCATGTATATATCGATACGATTATAATCGTAGTAATCTGATTGAAAATTCTGTTTCAAAGTTCACCGTGAATTCATAAAAAATAAAAATAAGATAAATAGGGTAAAATGAAGAAAGAAAGAAAGAAAAGAGAGAGAGAGAGAGAGAGAGAGAGAGAGAAAATGCGACTCAACAATGCAATTTATTATTATTATCATTAGAATGTTATATTAATTCAAATTTATGAAATATCGAAATAAAAAGAAAATAAACTTAGATTTATTAACAGAATCATATAAATAAGACAAGTAAAAATTGCGCGATCGAATTCAACTTTCCCTGAATTAATTCATATTGAGATACACTTTCTCACTTTCTTCTCACCTATTACAATCAAACTTAATGATATTCAATCTTCTGAAGGAACGTCCTTTTTTCTTTTTTTTGTATAAAAATTTCGTACGATCTCTTCTCTTCTCTCTCTCTCTCTCTCTCTCTCTCTCTCTCTCTCTCTCTCTCTCTCTCTCTCTCTCTCTCTCTCTCTCTCTCTCTCTCTCTCTCTCTCTCTCTCTCTCTCTCTCTCTCTCTCTCTCTCTCTCTCTCTCTCTCTCTCTCTCTCTCTCTCTCTCTCTCTCTCTCTCTCTCTCTCTCTCTCTCTCTCTCTTTGAAAGAATAACAGAAACAATTAAAAAATATAATCAGTACAAATCCAAAGAAAAAGAGAGAAAGAGAGAGAGGTAAAGAAAGAGAAAAAGAGTAAAAGAGAATTAATAAATGACACACGCGTAAAACAACACTTTTAAATAACTTGTCTATATTTTTGACAGAAGAACTTTTATTTGCACGAAATAGAATGAAACGTACGTTGATAATGGACACAGTGATCTCTTCCGTGTTAAAGTGTGGATCGACTATGCGAGAAATATAGACAGAAGGAGTGAAGTTAACTACTGGAATGAAAGAGCGAAAAAGAATGATAAAGAGAGAGGGAATAAAGGTAGGTAGTGGGTGTTAGTAGAGGAACACGATCGATGCGACGAACCGCAGTGACTGTATACAGAAATGCGCGCGCGCAATGTCACGGTTATACTATCCCCTCTCCCTTCAAGTCATCAAGTATAGCTTTTCGCCATTTCCCCTCTCCTATCTCTTGCTATCCCCATCATATACTAGCTCTCTTTCTTATTATTTCTTCCATCGAATGAAATGAAAATAGGTAGATAGATAGATAGATAGATAGATAGATAGGTAAATAGATAGATAGATAGATAGATTAATATATAGATTAATAGATAGATTAATAGATAGATTGATAAATAGATAGATAAATAGATGAAGAGAGAGAAAGAGAAAGAGAGAGAGGGAGAGTGTGTAATAGTAAGTTGTTCTTTCTCCGACATACTTTACTTCCTACTTTTATTTCACTCTTTTTCTCTCTCTCTCTCCTCTCCACTCTCTCATTGAGAAATTAGGCTACTATGTAGCGTCGATCGACGTTGACTTCGATATCTTCGAAAAACGAGCACGAGGATAGTTCTTTCATTTTAATATCTTTTTTTTCCCTTCTCTCTCTTTCTCTGTCTCTCCCTCACTTTTTTCTGGTTTTTCTTTTTTTTTCAGGAAATAGGTAACCAGGACACCTGTCCGTAGTTTTGGTATTTGCCTCTCGGCTTTATTTCTCTAAGTGTTGCTTGCACATATCTTTTTTCTCCGTTGTTTTCTCTTCTTCCTCTTTTATTTTTCTTTTTTCTTTTCTTTTTTTTTCTTTTCTTTCCTATTATTTTATTTTATTTTATTTTATTTTATATTATTTCTTCTCTTTTTATATATAACTTCAACCTTGGTGAATACACTAAAATTTCATAATAAGAAGTCGATTGAAACGAATTTTTTGCTTAATTTCGAATAATGGAAATCGAATAAAATCGAATCATAAGGAATACGAATAGAATGATTAATCGAGTTTAATCGTAGAAGACGTGGATATGTATCATAAATGTGTACGTGCATATATACCGTTGGCAATCTGGTTTCTTTCTCTCTCTCTCTCTCTCTTTCTCTCTCTTTCTCTTTCTCTCTCTCATTCTTTCTTTCTCTTTACGGTTAACCGACTTCTATCTTCCCGGCAGTAGGTCAATGTATTCAGCACCATGTATTTGGGAATTCTCCAGCATTTCGTAAAGTCCAGTTTTGTTCACTTTTCTAATTGATTAGTACCACTATGATTAGACGATGATAATGAAAGTAATTTTAATCAAAAATTTGAAATAATTACTTTCTTTAATATCACAATTAATCTAGATTATATAAGTCGTAATAAATTGAAACTGACAAAAAAAAAAAAGAAAAAAAGAAAAATAAACAAAAAGATCATCGATTCGTTATGACTCCAACCTCCCAACGTCCTTCAAAGCATATTCAAAAAAATTTACGTATCTTTCAATCATATACATAATCACGTGAACAAAAAAAAGGATGATAATATGTTACGTAACCAGAATACATCGTTTTACGAAACAAATGTTATTTTTATAGTATAAAGAGACAAAGAAAAATCATTGCAAGCTGTACTTTTTTAGAATAAGAATACGAAAAAAAAAAGAGAAAAATAAAAAATAAATAACGTACACATGTATTTCGACAATAGTGATTAAAGTTAGTACAAAATTTGAATCGTTCCAATCATCAAACGTTTTAACTGAATTTGATGAGTCATTATATATAAAAATAGTATTGTTTACAGAAAAGCCGCTCGATTCGTTTACTCTTTGGAAATCGATCGTTCTTGAAAGAATGTCTTGAAAGTGCATCGACTTTCTTCAATTCCGGATTTAGTGAAAGTAGCCGGATCGAGCACTGAAAACATAATTAATGTAGCTGATTGAAATCAGTAATATGAGGAAATATTACTGATCAAATTGGACTATTTTTTTTTGTTTATTTATTATCTCAAAAGTCGCAGCTTATTATAATAAATGTTAACGTAATTATTTATATATATATATATATATTCGTTAATTTATTAACAAAACGTCATTCAATGATTTACAACAATATCTTGCTTATTATGAATTGCGAACTTTTGATAAATTGCTTGCTTTGTAAAAGTGATTAGTACTTTAACAATTTGCATTATATTAAGATAATTTATTATTTAAAATAACCATAAAATGATCTTTTATCTTTTATCTTTTATCTTTATACATTGATATGATTAACATAAATCTCTGATAAATAATTAACATAAACATATTGATAGAAATATCTGAACGTATACTTAAAAAAAAAAAGGAAAAAAGAAAAAAAAGAAAAAAAAGAGAAAAAAAAAACAAACATTATAAGCAATGAAAAGCTTTCTTACTGATTTATAATCATTAATATACGATCGAATGTCAAATAAGTGACCTTTTAATCTATCGTATGTTTATTCAAACGTATGTTAAAGAGAAAATCCGAAAATAACATCGATCGTGCGTATATACAACGAACATGTACATCATGGCATCATATATTGTTTAATGACGTAGAAACGAAAGTTATTTATTCCAAAAACAGAAAACCATTATAAAAAGCGAAGATGAACATTATCAATAAAAAAAAAATATTATTATAATTACCTAATTAAGAAATTCTCAGATTAAGAATCTATTATTTTTTATTCATTTCTTCTTTCTCTCTCTCTCTCTCTCTGTCTTTCTTTTTCTCATGAATAATCAATATAATTATTTTAAACCAGCCTACTTATTCAAATTATTGGATTCTTTTTTCTGAGAAAAGATTATGAAACATCTAAAAATGCCTAAAGGCACGAAATTATTTTCTGGTATGTATCCTTTTTTTTCTTTCTTTCTTTTTTTTTCTTTTTTTTCTTTTTTTGTTTTTTTTAATGACTATTCTTTTCCACTATCACGACAATAAATTTACATTATTTCAATATTGAAGTAACCGACAAGTATTCGTAGCTATTGTATTTAAAGTAGTGGAAAAATACTAATGACTTTGTATTTAGAATGTGCAAAAGAAAAAAGAAATCATTAAAAAGAACACAATCATTCGATGGAATTATTTATTTTAATCAGATAATAATTATTGTTAAATAAATCATATCGATAAAATGTTACACGTTGATCCCTTTCGTTTTTTGACCCATTTTCGTCATTTTTTTAATCGAACAATTTAAATATACATTCTATTTCATAGTTTCTTTATAAATGTCTTATTAAATTACAATCTGCTTTTTTTCATTTTTTTTTTTTTCGTCAAGCTACACTTTGAAGATTGGTGTTCCGTATTTCCTTCTCGGAGAAGTCCATTGTCTTGGTGCCAGTCTTAACTACTTCCCTCTGCGCCATTAACGTAGCGTTTCTATGAGCCTGATGAATGGTCTGCAGATGAAAGCGTCTCCAAAGAAGAGCATCAACGTCGACGGATTTCGTCCACTCTTGCCAATCGCCTCGGGTTATTCCTTCTTCCCTTATATCTCCGGCTTTCTCGACGACCTTGTGAAGCCAGTTACCCCAATTGCTTGCAGTATCGCTGACGTACGTCAGCCATTTCGACCAATCTCTAATTTCAACAGATTCGACTTCGGCCGGATATTTGTCTAAGAATATGATTTGTGACTCAGTGAGAATATTTTTGAGCCAAGTAGCGATCTTCCCAGCTAAAACCACCAATACGTCCTTCATATGTTCGTTCAATGCTTCCGGATCTTCCTTCTCTATCACAGAGCTAAATTTATCATAGATCGCTCTCTGAATACGATCACGAACCAGATCAACGTCTTTGCTCTCTGGCATAGATTCCAACATGACATAAAGAACGTCTATCAACAAGCCGAAGGTCACGAACGGTAGGTCGGTAGGGAAGAATTCGTACTCTCCGATCTTTATTATAGGCTTCTCGATTTCCTCTTTTCTCTTCGCTTCCTCTTCTGCTATCCTCTTTCTTTCCTTTTCTTCCTCCGCTTTTCTTCTTTCTTCTTCATCTTCTTCTTCCATTGGTAATACCTCCTTATCTAATATCGCTTCTTCTTCTTCTTTTTCCCGTAACCTTTCCTCCTCTTCCTCCTTCTCTTTCTGTAATCTCGCTTCTTCTTCTTCTTTCTCTTTCTGTAATCTCACTTCTTCTTCTTCTTTCTCTTTCTGTAATCTTGCTTCTTCTTCTTCTTTCTCTTTCTGTAATCTTGCTTCTTCTTCTTCTTTCTCTTTCTGTAATCTTGCTTCTTCTTCTTCTTTCTCTTTCTGTAATCTTGCTTCTTCTTCTTCTTCTTCTTTCTCTTTCTGTAATCTCGCTTCCTCTTCTTCTTTCTCTTTCTGTAATCTCTCTTCTTCTTCTTCTTTCTCTTTCTGTAACCTCGCTTCTTCTTCTTCTTTCTCTTTCTGTATCCTTGCTTCTTCTTCTTCTTTCTCTTTCTGTAATCTTGCTTCTTCTTCTTCTTTCTCTTTTTGTAATCTTGCTTCTTCTTCTTCTTTCTCTTTCTGTAATCTCGCTTCCTCTTCTTCTTTCTCTTTCTGTATTCTTTCTTCCTCTTCTTCTTTCTCTTTCTGTATTCTTTCTTCCTCTTCTTCTTTCTCTTTCTGTAATCTCGCTTCCTCTTCTTCTTTCTCTTTCTGTATCCTTTCTTCCTCTTCTTCTTTCTCTTTCTGTATTCTTGCTTCCTCTTCTTCCTTCTCTTTTTGTAATCTCGCTTCTTCTTCTTCCTTCCGTAATCTTTCCTCCTCCTCCTCTTGAATTCTTCTTTCTTCCATTTCCTTTCGTTCCCTCTCTAATTTTTCAGCTTCTTCCATATCAGCTTCCGGTTCCATCTCTTCCTCTTCCTCTTCCTCCTCCTCCTCCTCCTCTTCTTCTTCTTCTTCCTCCTCCTCCTCCTCCTCCTCCTCCTCCTCCTCCTCCTCCTCCTCTTCCTCCTCCTCTTCCACTTCTTCTTCCTCTTCCTCTTCTTCCTTTCGTTTTCTCTCACAAATTTCCTTTAATTCCTTCTCATGATCATCCGCAACTTCGAAGAGAACCCCCGATATCCAGGAAGCTATTATATCTGAGAGGAAACGCATCTGCTGAGATTTACGATCGCTCTCATCGGTCGGCGTATATTCAAGAATGTAACTCAGTCTTCTCATTATCACACTTGCAATATCCTCGTACTCTTCCTTCGGTATAGGACATTTCCAATCAAGAATACTCTTAACAAAACACTCGGCCATCATATATTGACACATTACTGCATCCTTGTCCAACATTGTAGAACTTGATGCACCAGATTTTTTCGGCATTCGAGTAATCCGGCATAACTTACGTGTCTTTTCTCGTTTTTTAGCGATTCTCTTACGTTTTTTATTGCGAAACGCCTTCGCTGCTTGCCTGAAATCATCTCGATAATATATCATTATATACACACACACATATATATATATAATAACAATTTATTGATTATTAATAATTATCAAAGAATACTAATCCATTGGATGACACTTTACTCTGGTGTAAGACAAGTTTCACCCTCCAGTGATTTTATTAAATTATCCACAAATTCGGGCTTCAATCTAGTACCAACTTCCTGCAGGGTCATTAACATACGGTGCTTTGTTGGCCGAGCAAGTTCTTTAATTCTTGTTGAAATTGGTTTTAACTTTCTTTTTACTTCCTCTTGCAAACATGGTGATGGACATCTATAACTATTTAAATAGAAGAACAAATAGAGATATTAAATATCGTCGTTATATCAATTAAAAATAATTACATCGAACTTACTTCGGAGTGGCTAATAGATTGATGTATTCTTTCTTTGACAAACAATGTCTCGGAATGATATCCTGTTTAGGAAAAACGCATGGTTTACCATAAATCATCACAGTTACTTGTTTCATATCTTTCGCCGCTGCCTTCTTCTTTTTTTTCTGACAACATTCATCCTCTGCCATAGTTTTCTAAAATCATCAAATTAACATATATATATATATATGTGTGTGTGTGTGGGTGTGTGTATAAAAATGATTAATAAATTTGATAATTTAATAATAATATAAAAATTGAATAAATCCTTATCTAGACGATTTATATAAGTAACGTGGTAAAAATAGGTGGAAGAAATTTTTGATATCACACTATTAAAAAAAAAAAAAAAAAGAATAAAAGCGTGAGTCCATCGAATAAACATTTTAATGGAGATTTTTTACTTGAACCTTTCTCTTCGGCAATGGTTTGGCACAACGTAACCATTTTTTTTTCTTCTTTTCTCTTTCTTGTGGAGGTACTTCAAATTTGTCGTCCTTTTCACCCTTCCTTATCTCATTTTCTACCGAAACGGCACGTTTTACGTCCTCCGGAGCATCTTCGTTTACATCCATATCTGATTATAGATTTTACGTCTGTCTTTGTGTATGTATTTTATGTAGGATAATTGTTTTGTCTTTTTTTTTACTTTTATTTTATTTTATTTTTTTTTTATTTTTTTTTTTTTTTTTAATTTAAAATTTGATTCCGCGAAAGAGATCGTGAAGCTTCATTTTATCAACTTTTCCTCCATCGTTTGAACCGATAAAAGTTTTTAATGGTATTCCATTTTTTTTCCTTTTTTTTTCTTCTTTTTAATCAGACTTAAAATTAAAGTTACTCTTTTGGGATAATGAAAAAATTTGTAATTATGTAATTGTTATGGCCGAATAATTTGATTTTGTGTTAGAAATCGGTTTGTAGGAATCGTGTTTGTACGAAAATGTTGAACGACGTTTCGACGAACGCGAAGTTCGTGATTTCTGGGTTTTCTTTGTTTTTTTTTCATTTTTTTTGTTTTTTTTTTTATTTCTCTAAAGTCGAGAAGTTAGTTACGAGGTTACATTACATTTTTTCTGAAAGTATACAGTCTTCTTTATATTTCGATGGATGCACGATCGATCCAGGAACGTAATTATTGTTTAACTCGAGCCGCTCGGGAGCCGTTCTCTATTGAGCCGGACAAATAAACGCGAACGTGATCGAAATTTATAATCAGCTAGTCAGTTCGCAAACAGAGACTTAACCATTTAATTACACAAGTTCTCGTAATTAAATAACGATTAATCATTGAAATAGAGTTAACTGCCTACGAATTTGAATGAAAGTTTCGATACTGATTAAGATTAAACCGATCGATAATTATCATCGTTATCATCGATTTTTAATCATTTGCTAAGACTATTCGTAAATACTTACCCATTACAAATTTTAAATAAACGAATAAATTGTCGAAGGAAACGATGAAAATGGAAAAGATAGGGGAAAAAAAAAAGATTCGACGCCGAATCGTTGATTTGATTTTTAATCATAATTCGTGATAATTATTCTGAATTTTAAATAAAAAAATTAAGACGTTGAAAAGAAGAAATAAAAAAAAAATAGAAGAAAAAAGCATCAACATAAAAATGACATCATTATTTTCATCGCAAAATACAAGCGAAAAAGAGAGAGAAAGAGATAGAGAGAGAGAGAGAGAAAGAATAAGGAGTCCATGTCCGTATACGTGAGAGAGAAAGATGGATAAGTAGAAAAGTACTATAAGCAGTGTACAGATGGCGGTAGCATAGACGTCAGTGGTCGGACACCGATGGTTGGCTGTTCCGTTCGTTAATCGATCAATTCGGGTGTCGCTGTGCTCATTCGGAGAAAGGGAGACGTATATGCATCGTCGAAAAGGAAATACGGAAATAGGCCGAGACAGACGCGAGAGCGTTAAGTAGAGTAATGTCGGGCTTTCGGGGCGGACGCGGCTCTCCTCGCAGTTGTCTACCGTGATGTACGTATCAGTGGTGTCCCGTAACTCTCAGAGAGGACAAAAAATGTCGTCGAGGAAACGTTGACGGTGTACACGATATACGGAACAACGTACAAAGGCTTGCCGCTAGACCACGGAGCGAGAACTATGATGAGATAACGAACGCAGAATGAAATACAACAACGTTGACTTTCTCGGTTATGCTGTCCTCACATTCACCTTACATCTTAACGGTGAGTTTCATAAGTACAGATATCTTATATTCTTTTATTTTTATCTTGTAAATTTTTCTTTTTCTTCTTCTTCTCCTTACTCTAATATTATCTAATACCTTTCGTTATTTTTCGTTAATATCGTATTTTTCTCTAGTCTTGTCCTCTCCTTTTTTTTTCTTTTCTTTTTTTTTTTTTTAACCCATCGAAAGTGCTATCGGTTTGATGCTTATCAACTGTCGAGAAACGTGCCGTTTTCGAATGCGTCTGTCTGAATTAGGCCAACGCTTAAACAGATATATAGATAACACGCTCCATTTATTTGAATTTTCACGTACATGCGTATGTTTTATAACGTACATCATATCTATGTTTCTAAGTGATTGGTAATTCGAAAATTCATTATATACTTTATTCCTTTATCATTATAATTTGGATTTTATTTAATCGTACAATGGATACTCACGTTTGTTATATATTGTAAATAATAAAATCTTTTCTTGTGATAATGTTCAGAAACAATTGTTTTCATAAACTATAGCGTATCTCGAAGGATATATTTTATATTTATTTATTTATACGAACTATCACAATCATTGAATATTTACAGTTCGCGCAGAAGACGGAGTTGCTTGCAAAGATTTACAAGGACGTTCTTATGAAAGCGGCTTCCTTTACTTTCCTGGTCCAGAACCTTGTACATTTTGTGTTTGTGACAACGGCAATCCAAAATGGTGCAAAGCTGTTATTTGCAAGTTTCTGGAGGTACTTATTATTAACTAATTGAAATGAAACATTTCATTTGTTATATGGTGTAATTATTTATGAAATGATTTGCTTGAACGTGCAGATATATTAAAAATGTTTTAAAGAAATATTTTTATATAACTTTTCAGGAAGATTGTAAATCTTTGCGAAGAAGCGAAACATGCTGTGAATTTATTTGCTTAAACGATGCTAATGAAAAATCTGATGGCAGCGGTACCAACTTGATAGAAGGAAGTGCTAACTATGATATAGGATTACGTTCTGTTGCCAGTTTTGTAACGGCAATATTATCTTTAAGTCTTTTATTTTTCCTGATACATCGCCTACGTCAACGAAAAATTAGAGGTAGGTTTCAGAATAATTATATGACATATAACTTTTTAATATTATTTATAATTGTAGAATGGTTTAAATGCCATGATACTAGTAGTTATATAATTTACAATGATATTATGCATAAAAGATTCAGGGTATCCCATGTTAGTGTGTGTGGCAGGAAGACAAAGTAGGCAATTAGTAGAGGACCAAAGAAATCTGGGCAGTATGGGATATTTAGAAAGAGGAGGATTACAACATGGCATTCCGATGGATGACATGCCTTGCGGCGGTGGATATCCTTTATGGAAACCAGCAAACAATTATTTCCCACGTGGAGAAGCACCTCCACCTTATGAAGAAGCTGTAGCTGCTGCTAGAACCGAACAAGCACTGTTATCTATGGCTCCCCATACGTTGTCACCATTAAATTTTTCAAATGGCTATTTGCAAGATTCTAATAGTCATTCAAACATAGCAGTTGTAGCTAGTAGTCAAGATGCGTTAAATTCGACTTCACCGATGCCTTCGAATAGTAATGGCGCAAGCACTGTCCCATTAGTATCTTCGTCAAATGTAGCGATCGGTTCATTAACCACATATACGAACTGTCATCAGCTTAATCAGAGTGAACAATCAACGACACTTAACGTTGGTACATCTACCGCTACAAATTACTCGGCATCTACGAATACATATGAGAATTTACCTGTTTCAACTGGTATAACAAATTTCACTTATCAAATTGCCACGGCAAGTAATGATACCCAACAATTAGCAAGTTCACATTCTACAATTTCAAAAAATTATCGACAACACACCACATTTCCACGACAAAGTGGTGCATTTACAATATCCGCGAGCTTACCAAGTTCCGATATATCCGCCGCTCATCGTACAATTCCAAGAACACTGACGAATAACACTACGACGAGAATAAAAGATATTATGAGGGATCGTTCAACGGAAGAACTTTTCCATCTTCCACCGAGAAGTTTATCTCCTCAGAATTTACCGCAAACAACATCACCGATTATTTCGAATGATCAAGAACATCCACAAGATTCTAATATCTTTTGCAAAGATGTTTTAACGTCTGCCACGACTATATCTCAAATTGAAAGACAACAAGGAAATGTTGTTTCGCGAAAACCGTGTGATTTTAAGGTATAATAATAATATAAATTTATTCACAATCTTATATCACGTATGAAGTTAGTTATTATTAAATTCTAATTATGATACTAATTATTTATAGCCTCCTTTAAACATTGCTAATGAGATTAATGAAGATGGAAGTTTTGAATCGGTAGCTTGTACTTGTAGCATGCAAACTCTTCCAACTCTTCACGATGACGCGGATGATTATCGTAGCGAGTGTGAAAATTGTAAAAGCGCAACAGGATCTCGTTATTATTTGGATAACGAAGATGAGTTGGTTACATCACCGCATGAAACCATGACATTACATAGGAGACCAGAGGACACAGCATCAAGTGCCACACCTCAGTATTATAGGACTTCTCTTACACTGCCGACAAGTACTCGTCAACGCACCAGGTAATGAAAATCATTTGTCAACGAATAATTAAATCAATCCTCTTTTAATTATATTAAATGGATCATTATATTGATAATGTATGATTTATATATCGAATACTTTTCCTTTAGGAGTACTGGAGTTCGAGAAAATTGGTTTAATACCATGCCACAAAGCTCTACAGAATCTTCGGATGAAAATTAAATGTAAAAAAGAAAAAAGAAAAGAAAAAAAAAGACAAAAAAAAGAACAAAACAAAAAAGAAAAGAAGAAAACAAAAAAAATACATAATGTCTATATGTTGAGTAAGTACCAAAGTACGCGAATGCGTAATAAATATTAGGATCGTACATGCTCATTTCAGAGTAAATAAAATTCGGTTCGCTTTACACATAACATTGGGCAGTATTGATAGCTGGAACTCGGATACAAAGAATAACATTTTTTACTAAAGAAGTTCGTTAGATATACGTCGTTTCTGTTAAATTACAGGTATTTGATTAGAAAGCAGAAATAAATGGGTGATACAGAATGTACAAAAATGGCTTTTTATAACTCTATCGTTTATTATAGATACTTTTTGAGAAAGTTACCATATTTGCACGTTACTGTACTGCGAATGTTTATGCAAATGCATATTTTAATAAGGAATAATAATAATTTTTTTGTCATGATAATTTCATCAATAACAAGTATTTTTTATATATGAGTATGATAATTTCCATGATTTATGAAAAAGCGAGTGGTCAGGACTTCATTATTTTGTATATGCTCGCATATTTTACACAATTTTTAAGGTATATATGAATATTTTTCATGCATATATACTATATGTTTTTTTTTCTTTTGATATTTTTTTTTCTTTTCTTTTATTTTCCTCTTTCCTTTCATTTTATGTACATGCATAAATATCAGCAGTCCAAACATCACATAATATTTTTTTATATGTTTTAATTTACTATTATATTTGAATTTGTCTTATTAACTAATTTAATAATAAAATGAAAAATGAATTTATTATTTATAGCTATAAGTATGAAAACTCTATAAAACTATTAATGTGTATATATATATATATATATATATATATATATATATATATATACATAATAAAAAAAAAATCAAAGAGTTTCTAAAAAATCTGGACAATTTTGAACGTATATTTCCTAAACTTTTGATAATTTATAGATTTTTAGATGGTAGAGAGTTTTTATAAGTTTTCAAAACCGTAAAAATTGATTCGTAAGATATTTTTAAATTTAGATTTAGGTTGTCTGAGAAAGAAAGAGAGAAAGAAAGAAAAGAAGTATCAAATTTCAGTGTCATTGTTAGACATCGTTGTTATATGATTCTTTGCATAAAATACGGTTCATCTTAACGTAAAAAAAAAAAAAAAGAAAAAAAGAGAAAAAAGAAGAAAAAAAAAATACATCACATGGGAAGCAGTATTGTTATGAACATTGATCGCATGTGTTTAACAAAAATAGACATATTATCTAGGCTGTACTGTATCCTATGTGCAGGAACTTTAACTCCCGTTATCGTTTAGATACGGGCAACTAAATATCTTCTTTCAGTAGTAAATACAATACTTTTTTAAACATGATATCACAATAACAATTGGGTAGTATATTAGGTAGAAGTTGGATAAAAAAAAAAAAAAAAATTAC